TGAATGGAGATATGGCACGTACCCCATCACCCACCCCACCCCATCATCATTTTTAAATAAGAATTCGAAAATTGATCTTTTTTCTAAATAAATTAATTTATTATTCAAAGCAGGTGTTTAAAGTTTTTGAAACCAAATATGTATTTACTTTTCAGACAGTATTGCGTGGTCTCTCCAGACAGTATTGTACGAAACTTATATATAGACAAATTATTAATTTATTTTCTTATTATTTACGAATTGTTTTTAAATTTGTTACAATTAAAGTTTTAATTAAACCATAGTTCAATTTTTTTACAAATAAAATATACGCATAAAATTCTCATCTAATGAAATAATCAAAAATACATTACATTTCCTTCAATGCGTGTTTTAATATTGAAACTTGCAACAAAAATTATTATTTGTAATTGCATATTCAGACTATGAATATTATATTAATCCTAAAATAAAACTGGCTATATTTAAAAATTTATTAATGTAGACTAATATTTGCTAAGGACAACTTGATAATTCTAAACAAAATTATTCTGTTTGATTTCTTAAAAACTCATAACAAAATTCTCTAATTCTCAGTAATAATAACTAAAATTCTCTAATTCTTAGTACAAAATTTAATAATTCACAAATTCTCTTTAAATTTCAGTAAATTTCTCTAATTTCAAGCTTCATTACGTTTCAAGAACGTCATCCTTTTTGACTAAAATCATAAATAAATAAATATTAAATGTCAACACATAGGAAATGAAATTTAAAGGAGGGGGGGAGAGAACTTTCTAATATAATTGTTGAAGAATATTGTTGAAATCACATAGGCATTGTTTATTGAAAATGAGTTTCCTCCAAATTCATTATCTAATTAAAATGCCTTTTGGAGAGGTTTAATTTCGGAACAATTTGTTTGATGAACAATTATTACAATTCTAAATCTAGGAAACATTATTAATCACGATGACGAAAATATAATACAATCAGTCGAAAATGGATATCAGGAAAACTAATAGAAATTTATGAATGTATTGTAATGCAACAGAATTTCGTAAATTACATGATTAAATCATTGTGTATTTAAATAATGTACTGACGTCAAACGGATGATTTGCGAAACAATATTGCATTCATATTAAGTTAAAAGATTCATAATGCAATTGAAGTTCAAATGTTGTCGAACTTATATTTCAAACGTATAAGTAAATATTAATTAAAAGATATTAATTGAAACATCAAGGATATAAAACTCTTACATGATTTTTTTTTCTTATCTCACTTGGTAGACAGCAACATCTATAGCAAGTCTATGTATCCGTGTGGTCTCATGGAAGGAGGGAAGGGGTGGGGCAGCATCTATTGTGATGGATCACCCGTAGGTAGAAGGCTGACTTGGCTCCGTGTCGCTGAAGAAGGAGGGCAATGCCTTCCGGGAGGACTTTAGAGGACACTACCTCTCATTTGCGTATCGTATGTGAGGAAACCCGAAAAACTCTCCCCACGCTGTCCGATTTACGAGGCAAGATGCTGAACATCACAAACGCCACCAAGTCTCCTCGTTCTTTGAAACAATGTTTATAACAAACCCACCTGCGGATTAAACTTCAACCCTAATGCTCATCAGCGGCGCATGTTGCATCAGATGCACATGAGCCATGTGTCGGGCACTCTTACATGTATCAAAGAAAAATCCTTATTTTATTAGCCTCTTGCCAATAATACCAACTCAAAACATTTTGTTTCCTAAAGTCTTTCATTACTGAAATAGCAGGTATGTTTCAGGTTCGGTGTTAGTCTTCTGTATCATCAAAAACCTGCAACACTAGTGACTCAAAAATTTTTTTAGGATTTCTTGCGTGACAGTCTTTTTAAAATTCTTTTTGTGGGCACATTGTACCCTTGTAGAACACTACAGGAATTAAATAAATTAAAAACTGAATTAAACTGGCATATTAATTAAAATAATAGAACTTCTAAAGTACAACCAACTCTATTCAGAAAAAAAAAATAATCGTCAATTATTATCGCCAAAAATTAATAGTCGCCAATTATTACCGCCAAGAATTAACAATCACCTATTATAACCATCAAAAATTAACAATCGCCAATTATTATCGCCAAAAATTAATAATCGTCAATTATTATCACCAAAAATTAACAATCGTCAATTATTATCGCAAAAAATTAATAATCGTCAGTTATCGCCAAAAATTAACAATTCGCGGATGACCCAAAATACAAACTATGATATTTTGGGTCATCTTCAAGTGATTTCTTCAAACTATCCTAGCGACCTCTGACTTCAGTTTTATAATTAGTGTTCCATATTATACTGTGTTCTTTATAATCAATTTATAAAAAACACAGTTAGGCACAAAGCAGAAACATTAGCAAGTTTTATTTTTTCATTTAATTCAACGCATGCCACAAATAATGGGAGATGAAATGAAATTTTCCAAATGGATTTGAATTAAATTGGAAAACGTAATAGCAATAAAAAATATAATGCACAAAAAAAATACTAAAAAAAATATTATATTAGTATTTAAAATAGTATTTTGAAAAGGAAAAAAAAAAAAAAATACATAATTTTATTTTCATAACTGAAAATAGCGAATTCTGATTCTAAAAATAATAGTTTCTGAGAAGCTCCATAATTGAAAGACACTTTTTAAGAAAAATACGTTTATTACGGCTAGAATGAAAAAATTACGTCGTTAGAGTAACTTGAAATTCTGAAATCGTTGAAGTCATTGCTCTGTGATTATTAAATCCAATTATCAAAATTTTCAACTATTATTTAATTTTTATTTTCGTAAAAGTTAAAGCAAAATGATAATTCAGATTGCAGAGCGATTAGTATGCTTATAAGCCAGACCAAAATGAATAAAAGAACGGAAGTTCTACTATATTTGTTCTAAATAATTATAATTGAACAGCATTGTTATATTATTAGAGGAAACAAAAGCACTTCTAGGTAAGTTATAATTTAAATTAAATTTGTTATTGAGAATTTAAAGATTTGTTTTTGAGAGGATTGAAAACTATCTTGATTTTTAATATTATTCCTTAATAAATTCTAGTTGATATCATATGCTTATTAAATCATTCGTTAACATCATAAAATAAATTGATAGATTTGTGATCAAATTTTTATAAACTTGACATTACAGTAACGTTTGATGAATTTTTAGGGTGCTAAAGTATTCTTCTTCTACATAGGCGCAACTGACCTGTGGTGAGCCGAGGCCGTCTAGCTTACTGGCAGATATTGAGACAGGGGATGTTTCATTTTTAAGGGGTAAAGTTGCCAGCCCTATCCCCTACGCTCTACAGTCATATTAGACCACAGGGGCCTGAATCATATCATATTAGAGTATAGGAGCCGAGTGTCTAATGCTCTGCCTCTCAGTGACACAGGTTTCAGGTTCGAGTCCCGGCGGTGTCATGGATGTTTGTAATGGTTCGGAATCCATTTTAAACCGGTGGTAAGTCCCGGTTTCATATAATTGTACAGCGCTACAGATCCCAGGTCAGACTTCTCACCCACATTATTCCCAAACTGTATAGGGACCACTCAGCTCTAGGCACAGTTATGTGGTGTGGTGTGGTGTAGTAGTAGTCGTAATATTAGACCGGGGCCTAAGGTTTAAAAGGGATTCCGAACCACTGCAAACATCCATAGCACCGCCGGGACTTGAACTCGAAACCTATGGCCTCAAGAGCCAGAGCGCTATTCACTCGGCCATCAGGTCTCTTAAATTGAGACCCAACAGTTACAGAAGCCATGAGTGAGAGTTGGACTTACGACCCCTGGTTTACGTGACCAGTGCTTGTGCATACTGAGCTATACTCAAAGTACTTTTCACAACAATCAAATCAAATTAATTTAAAGCTACTAGCAACTTAAAATTAAAACAAAATATCTTGATTGTAGAAAAAGAACTTTTTAACCCTTCTTTCTCTTGAAAAACAAAACAAATAGCACTCACATAACAACATCTGACACGTTGTCTTTCTAATATGGCACAGTAAACAGAAAAAAGATATTACATTTACAGACCATCCCTGGGATATCGCACGCAAAACTTGAGATTAATCCGAGCGGATGTCAATTAATACGGGCGAACGGTATCACTGCGAAAAGGCATTAATCAAAACTCCGTTATCACACGTCGCAGCTTAACAGGGGGTGGATTCCGCGTGGATTCGAAGCGATAGGGAAAAGCACTTCGTCCACTTTTCTGATGATAAAAGAAAAGAAACACGTCCTATTACCAGCAGGAGGAATATTACGTTACTTCCATTCGATAACAGTAACGTACCAGAGCAAATATCTTCTGGTAGTGATAGGACAAAGTAATTAACCAGCTGCTCCTCCGATTGTTCAATGGATTCATTCACGAAGGCTTAACTTCAGTAACGGTAATGTCGAAAAATTGTTGGTGTTAGCGCAGGAATCGTTTATAATTGGATGATTGAAGAGAATAAATAGAGTAAAAGTCGAAACTAAAGTGAAACCTATCAGGAAAATCGTCAAGTATTTCTTAGATAAATGCATCTTACATGAAGAAACTTCAAGTATATTTCCATTTTATTTTATCAGTACTCTTACAAATGTTGACCAGGATAATTTTTGGGACAGCTAATTGATGTTCATTTTAAGAATCATGCTCAAAGTTTCACGCATAATCTGAATAATTCAAGATCTTTCCCTTTAATTTTAATAAAACTTTACTTATGCTATTTACATTTCAATAACGGTTTTCATTAAATATGTATGTGGCCAAATTACAAACATACAAGAGGACTTTTTCTCTCAACTATTATTCCTCTTTTAGCCGCCATTCCAAAAGTTAAAATATTTTCATCTTTCAAAATTTCTGGACTGCAACTGAGTTACGTCTTTGACGCTGAAGGCCATCTATTATCGTGACGTCAGAAACATATTTAAAGTTAGTTAACAAAAATGATTAACATGAATTAGTTTTAACTTCTTTTAGAACTTTTTAGAGCTGCAGATTGTTCGATTGGTGGAACGTTAGGCTTTTAACTTACCGGACCGGGGTTCGAGTCCCTGTTCGTTCCAAATGTTTGCTCATTAAAATCTAGAAAATTTTAGCCCGACTTTTGGCTCAGTAGCAAAGCTGCTGGTGAACATTACGGCTGAGGTTACATCCGCTGGCGGCTTTGTTGTAGTCACTGTTTAAAACACGAGGAGACTCGATGGTGCTTGTAATGTTGGGCATCTTGCCTACGGATTACCTGGTGGGATTTTTTCAGATTTTCTCTTATATATTACGCACATATGAGGTAGTGTCCCCTAAACGTCCTCTCGGAAGGCACTGTCCTCCTTTTTCAACGTCACGGAGCAAAGTCAGATTGCTACCTATGGATGCTCCATCACAACTGAAGCTGATCTCCCCCTTTCTCTCCTTCCATGAAGCCACATGGGTTCTTGGACTTAGTCTGGATGTTGCTGTCTACCAGGTGGGATAAGAAAAGAAAATTTTTTTTTTTTAAATTTGCCTTAAGTGGTAATGCTCGTATCTGTAAACCATATAAGCATTATCACTTGAGTCATAGGTAAAATAGCTTCTTTTTAGTTCAACTTGTGATACAGTGTTAGTGCAATTATCTAGCTGATGGAAATTTGTAAAGTTTTTTTTTTGATAATTTTTTTGTTGTAGTGATAATGAATTCGATGATAATTCAGAATATAATCTTTTTACTAACTACACTTATGAGTCTTCGTTACAAATTTTAATGGTAGAATGTGCAGAACGGCTCATGTGATAAACTCTGGGTAACGCTGAATCTGCTACATGTCCGCCATTATATTTTCGAATGATTTTAGATAAAAATACCTGGCATTTAAAATGCCATTTCATTACATTAACCATAATATTGTAAACAACATTAACAATGCTGTTGCAAAAAATAATCGGGAATATCTTATCAACACAAAAGAGATAATTATCAATAATTTTTAAATTCAGAACCATTTAAATTAAAAGTTCAGCAAAGGATCAAAATATTTCTCCATATTTAAATATTTTTTGTTAATTTTTCAATTTATTTATGCGCATATTGTGCAAACTATTAAATTTAAAAAATAATTAAATATTTTTATGGCACTCAGAAATAATATTTGAATAATTTTTTTAAAAAAAATACCTTTAAAATTTAGGTTGAGATATGAAACTTCTCTGGTTATGGACAAAAGAAGTATTCTTCTTATAATTAATTTCTTAAAGTTAACTATTGCTATTAGTATTTTAATGAGGGAATAAATGTAACTATTTTAATGCAAGCATGTAATTACCACCATTGAATAATCAATTACTTAATTACTAAAATTTGTTTGAACAGGATCTATTTTAATACATTCATTCATCGCCGTTCTTATCATGAATTATTCAAAAAATTCAGAATTACTTAATTAATAATTGTTCTAATATATTCTCTAACCTTTAAATTCAATGTAATATCTTCCCACATGTTACAATTTAAACGCCTTCGAGCATTTCAGATTTGAATAAAACTTTAACTCTCAGATAGTTTTGGGTTAATTAAATCGCCTACATATGAAACTTTTTGTTTCAATTTCTTTACAATTATTTACATGTTAATATGCTATAGATATGGCGAAGATGTTACAGATTCGGCTTTATTACGGGGGCATTAAGGGGCCTTCTATACTACACCCACGACACAGATGAAGGAGTTATGCCCTCTGGGAAAGTTTTTAGGAATAAAGCTTAATTGGAAATTCAAGAGAATAGCGGAAAGAATAGATTTTCCCCCACATTCTGTTTACAACGAAGACTATAATAAATTTTTCGTCAATCGCTAAGCAAATTCAAGTTTCTTATTGATTAAAGAGTTATTTTTCACATTCTGCAGATGATGTCATAATTCTGCATGCCATAGAGAATTCAACTTATCATATGCAATTAAAGCCTAGGGAGCAAGGGCAATGGATTCGGTAATGAGATTTTAGTATCCGCTGAAAACCCATCTTAACTGTATTTCTGTGTTTATAGGGAAACATATCAGACTCACAGTCTGATTATCGATGTAAAGCTACGGAATGTAATCTTTTCAAAGCAGTGATTGGATAATATGTCACTTTTTCTTCTTCTTCATTGGCTCAACTTTCACATGATGGGTCAAGGCCGCTTGCCTAGTGACAGATTTCCTACGGGGTGACAACGATTTGAGGCGAAGACAGAATTTGATACCACGTTCGCCTGAAATCGGTTTTGCAACTTGGAGTTGCCCAACTTTCAACTCGGGGTAAGGTTCTGTGAAGGGGTGGAAAAACCCTATGCCCAACGCTTTACAGTCATATTAAATCGACACCTAAGGTTTAAAGTGGATTCCGAACCCGATACTTTTGGCACCGAGCGCCAGAGCGCTAGTCATTCTGCCATCCGGCCCCCATAACACTAGCAATTTCAAATCTGCATCTTTTTACACGCTCACTAACAAGCTCTGCCACACTTTATTGAGAGAAGGATTAATTTTGAATATATATGAATTATTGATATTAATTTATTGAAAATTCAAATCTCTTCAGATTATTTTGAGTTTGACATAATATATTCTATGATGATTAAGCACCATGGTATTTAAATTAATTATTCTATTTCATATATTGCTCATTTAGTAAATAGTTGTTTTATTCAAATAATTTAGTAAATTTGTAATTATGAGATTTCAATGACAATTGCGATTCCTTTGGTACATCAATGATAATCTGAGAATGTTACTTAAAATAAGTAGAGTGGCAAATCTGGTAGGTAAGACTTAACTTTTTTACGTCACAATAATGTATTATTATTTATTAACATAGAAATTTTATGTTATTCGTTATTATTCGCACGAATTAAGTTTAAAAAAATCCAAAACGCTTCTAATTCGGCACTATATTTAATTGGGGGTAATGAGTGGGGATATTATAGTAAAGCTTCCTTGATTTTATTGTATTCACAGTGACTTTGCAGCAATCCTGACATTGGCCTGTTTTATTTATTTATTTATAATGGATATAATGACTAGTAGAAAAACATATTCATAAGGAAGTTATAAAAAAAAAACCGCCAGGAGATTAATAATTTCTTTTTTATTTTATATATTAACCTATTAATTAATTCTGCACCTATCTTTTACAATAATTCATTTTGAGATGGACGGAATACCCAGAACTATATGGTCTTCATTTTTATATTCTTACTTAAAACGAAAGTTGCCATATTACCTCATAGCATAAAAATTGGAGCCTTTATTAACAGCCCTGTAAAGTCATATCATTTATTTCAATAATTAAAGTTAATATTTGTATAGTATGTTGAAACATGATAAAACCACTTACACTAATAAAAAATTAAAAATCTACCTACTTAAAAATTAACATAAAGCATCATAATACTTATCCCTGGGAAACAGATGGAAGCAGTTATTGCTTTGTTTACAACAGCTACTAAAACGAATTTTTGTCAATTCTTACTATTAGTTCACACTCTCCCTACATATATATTTATATATCTTGCTCAAATTTTCAATCATTAATAAAATACTTTTCATTCATCCACTCAAGTTCAAATACATTTTTTTAAAACATGTAGTGGATGATACTTGATGTTAATACAGTTTTTCAAATATTAATTCAGTAATTAAACTTAATTAATTAGTTTTAGTTTTATATGAGAGAAAAAAATTTCTCTTTTATAAGATATTTAGCAGGATATAAATTTAGGTATAAATAACGTCAGTGGCAAACCGTGTAGATCCCTGGAAAAAAATTTCTTTTTTCACTCTGGGTTCTTGTCTGAGTCAAGGAGGGAACAAAATGGAAAATTAAACATGTGAATAAATTAGTGAGAGAGATGGAAAATGTGAGTTTTAAAAGTGAGTGAGTTTGGAAAGCGTGAGAAATTATGTCTGAGAGAGAGAGAATTTTTTTCTAATTTAAAAAAATGAATGAAAATTATTTATAAAGGACTTTCTGCAATATAGTGAAAAAAAAGTAGGAATTGACTTTAAATTTTTTTCTTATATTACTTGTTTAAGAATTATGGTTAAACAATTTAGTTGCTATGCTAAAATAACACATACTGCTGAATTATTAATAAAATTGAAGTATATAAAAATTATAGACCAATGACTTTATTGTTCGAATTACTCTACAGCATTCTACTTTTTTCCTTTTATGAGAAAATTGTTTGTTTTATTCATCAGTGAATTTAATATTATTACATTAAACCACCTTGATGCACTCTTAAATCAATGTTGTACCTCCAAACAACGACCTGCACCCAGAATACAGTCCCCAAGTTAACGACAGATGGGAGTGGTCACATGACATGCTGACCACCATTAGTATTTCGGATGTCCCTCCTTGGATTCGTACGACAAGACCAGAAAGGGTAAAGAAAGACGTGGGGGTGGGGGAGGGAAAAAAAAAAAAGAGATGCTCTTTCCAGAAATCGAAGATCGGAAATTCATTCCTCCAGCGGAACATGGACATGACTATGCTCTTAGCTAATATAGCTCGTTCGAGTGGGACGAATATATTCGTAGCCGGGGACGCTATTTATCCGATAATGTGATACATGGATTAGAAGATTTGATGGGAACTCCCGTGTTACATCATTAGATGCTCCGAGCCATTTCCCCAAAGTTCAAAAAAAATAAGAGAAAGATGGACGCAGGATTGCTTTTATCTGAATGGTTGACCTTAAAGCAGAGCTATTTGTGTTCATCAGTGCCGAAGTACCAGGTTCGGCCTTTTTCGTTTGAGTGCGCTGACTTTTTGAACCGAGGCGATTTCGGATCTGTGTTAGCTTTATTGGGTGTTTAATTTTTTTATTGTTGGTCTTCATAAAAATTGGTTTTGTTTTCATGGATAATAATTGATCAATTCCAGAATTCTTCAACTTAGAATCTTAAAAAAATCCTTCATTTAGAGCCTGCACATAAACTTTTTAAAAAAATCCCGTTCGTATGACAGCCATTAGAAAGTGACATTTATTTGATGTTTTAATAAAGTGACATTTATTTGATGTTTTAATAAAGTGACATTT